GCTGATTTCAAATAAAAATTTGATTTTTAAAGACTTCATGGAAGCTGAAGTTGTGGAAGATGAAATTCAGGTTATCTCATAGTTTCAAATAACAAGCTCTCTGTAAATGACCATAACAAGGTGCTGAATTCTGAGCAGACTACAGGTCCCAACTCTGTTCTCAGACACTGTGAGTATATGAAAAGTGTCCCAATTAATATAAAGTAAAATGATATATTTTCCAAGAATAAAATATGTTTCTAAACTTTATTAAAATGTTCTCTGTCCACATGTTCCCTTAGCTGTTAGTTTCATTAGCAAAAAGCCAAGCAGTACCTGTAAATGGTAGCGCTGTTGTTTTTGTTGAAATTGTTAGCTAATTGACCTTGCAGGATACTTCAGATGTAGAAGGACTAGAGGACTGGTCTGTTGAAGTATTGTTAGTATGCGATGAACCAGCTATTATTTTTCAGAAAAACTTGGAGAGTGTTGGGTAGAAATTATGTAGAGAAAATGTTTGTTTCTTGCTCCTCGCCCAAAGTGGACATTTCAAAACATCATCAGGGAGGCTTCTCTTTGTCTGACCTGGTCAGGCCCTCCAGAGAAGAAATACAACTTCTGATAGATTCCCAGACAGATGTATAGAGCAAAATATTCCCGGCTAGTTCTGGGAAACTTTTCTACTCAACTTCTGAGTTTCTCCCTCAATGTTCACTCGACACTTACTCGGCTCTTCTCTCAGTTAAATCAGTAGGAGTTTGAACAGCTAAAAACTTCTGCCCAAACTCTTGGATGCTGCTGTAATAAGAGAAGTTCCGAAAAGTCTAGAGCTCTGGCCAAAGATGTGTTCAACTCTTACCTAATAATGCCTCATAAGATTTCAGTTTAGGGATTGGAAATGTATTTTTGTGCATTTTTTTGCAGACATTAAAAATGGTATGAATGAAATTATTTTCAAGTGAGATGGATTTGTTAAGAGGTGCTGAAGCCAGAGTGATGTTTCACAGACACTCATGACTTGAATTGATTTATCTCCCCAGGATAGAAGCATTTCTGTTCATTAGCGGGGAGGTGGGAAAATGATGCTGCTCTAGCTACTTTGTGTATACGTTTCCTGAAGAAGACCAAAGCAGAAATATTTAATTAGTCATGGAAATATATTGTGATGACATCCCAGGGTCTTAAGTTTGCCCAAGTCTGGATTATACTAGTGAGTATGAAAAATAACATGAAAATAGAATTCCCCTTGCGAATAGCTTAGGCTTCAAGGCGTAGTCAGCAGAGAAAATACAAAGGTAATAAGAGCGAAACAAACAAACTTGTTCTGTGCAGCTATGAACATCCAGAATCCGTTTTCAGGAGCGGACAGCGCTCACAGATGAAGCTAACGTTTTCTCAACAGTTTATATCTCATTTAAAACATAATTAATGTGGCCAGATTTTCAGAAATTCTATTTTCCCCGCTAGCTCTCTTGGAGAGCCTTGGGATTAAGTAGGGATGTTCTCCTGTTTTATTTTCTCAGGAATTTATATAAAACAAATTCTACTTGCCTTAGAGGAAAATTTTGAATAAAGAAATTCTCCTAGGAAAAGATACTGCTTTTCCATGACTCATCAGCAGAATTTTTCTTTACATTTCAAATATGACCTTCATGTATCGGTGGGTAAAAGTGTAGTGTTCTGAATTAATTTCTGTCTTTTATGAACTTTAGTATAATAAAATACCCGCACTTTTTTTTTTTTTAGTGCGGTCTGTTATTTTTGATGTTCCCAGTAGTATTTTTCTTAAGGTTTGTTTTGTCTTAAGGGGGGGAAAAAAAAGCATCTGAGATATTTAAGAGACTTAAAAATGGCTAGCCTGGGTCTCTCGGTTGGATCAGCTGGTATATATTAGCCTGCTGTTTAAAATGTCTCTTAGCTGAGATGGGTTGATGGCCAAGTTTCGATTTGTGCTCAGATAGGTGATTTCTCCCTAGATAGAGTAGTTTTGGAGTCAGGGTTTTCCTGAGACTCTAACAGGAGTTTGAATTTTTTTAATTTTATGGGAGGAAGGTTGCTCATATGAGACATGGTCTGTCTTGAAGAGACTTCAGTGCAGCTATGAGGATGGTTTGGCTGTTGCTGTTCTTTTGTAGTTCAGGAGCATATATTTGTAGTGCAACTTGCACTTAGTGTAAGATCCCCTTCCTGTCTATGACCTGAGTGGTCTTCTGAGTGGATCTCAGTTGCTACAGTGAAGATGATCCATTACGTTTTTTCCAACCTTCACCTTAAAGATTTTCAGAATGGGACTGAACATGCAGTTTTTAGAAGTGATAAAGTATTTCAAA